ATCAACATTAAGTATTTAGACATAAGGGAACGAATTAAAGAAAAGAAGGTGGTCATTGAGCACGTATGCACTGAATTGATGATTGCTAATCCTTTGACTAAAGGCATGCCACCGTTAAAATTCAAGGATCATGTGGAGAAAATGGGACTTGGTTCCACTATGTAATTGTATATACAAAAATTTTGTACAAAACTCTTATTTATTGTGGTATTTTCTCATATTTACGCGCTTTAATTTATACGAAAAAATACATTTATGTAGGACCAAGAAAAAGACATAAGGTCTTTTCATTAAGTATTGTTACCACACAAGGAAGTGGTCATTGAGCACGTAAGCACCGAATTGATGATCGCTAATCCTTGGACTAAAGGCATGTCATCATTGAAATTCAAGGAGCATATGGAGAAAATGGGACTTGGTTCCACTATGCTATGGTATATATAACTTTTGTATGAAACTCTTATTTATTGTGGTATTTTCTCATATTCATGCGCGCCTTAATTTATTTGAGAAAATACATTTATGTTAGACCAAGAATAAGACATAAGTTCTTTTCATTAAGTATTGTTACCACATAAGGAAAGGTTCTTGAGGAACTAAATGCATCATAATACATGGAAGGTGATACTCGTTATTAGAGGACCCACGGCCATGATTCATGAGTTTGTTTTTTTAAGAAAATACAATCAATAAGATTAAGTTGAAACATGAGGTTGAATGCGTGGACCAAGTGGGAGAATGTGACATTTCATCTTCCATTTCCGTTTCTTCATCCAGCAATTGAAGGAACAAATGATGGTCCACATTCATTGGAGTTTCAACATTTACACCATTGGTATTGAAGGGTTTGTAACCAAATTATGGCTATATATATGATGTTTTGGTCCCCAAGCTAAACAACTCAAAATACAAAATACACCATCTAGTTAGAGGGTTGAGAGTTTGGAAGCGCCATTACCTGGAACAAAGGAGAGCTTCTGGAACGATATCAATTGTTGGAGGTATGGATTCGATCCCTGTGATCTTCCAAATTCTCGATACAATTAGTTTCCGCATATTTATTCTAACATTCAATGTGACATTTCATCTTCCATTTTTGTTTCTTCATCTAGCAATTGAAGGGGAAAATGATGGTCCATATTCATTGGAGTTTCAACATTTACACATTTCGTATTGAAGGGTTTGTAACCTAAGCCATAATTTGATGGAAATTTTGACTATATATATGATGGTTTTGGTCCCCAAGCTAAACAACTCGAAATACAAAATACACCATCTAGTTAGAGGGTTGAGTGCTTGGAAGCACCATTACCCGGAACAAAGGAGAACATCTGGAGCAACGTCAATGGCTGGAGGTATGGATCCGATCCCTGTGATCTTCCGAATTTTCGATCAATTAGTTTTCACATATTTGTTCTGGATCGATTTTTCTAACATTTGGTATCAGAGCGAGAAATTACCTCTTTCTTGGTGTTTTGCCACGAATCTGTAGAATTCTATCTTTTCTGACTGGAAGTTTTTTCTGAAAATAAATTCAGATTTCTCCATGAAATCACTTTTGATCTCTTTGTGTTTTCAAAGTTGAGTTTTGATGGGGAGAAGGTTGAATTTGAAGTGTGTCAGTATCGTGTTGATTTCAATCCGCTAGAGGAAGAAGATGACCATTTTTGAAAAAAAAAAAGGGACTGCCGTTTCTAAATGACGCGTTTCCTTTATTGGGTTTAAACTTTGGAATTATATAAGGGATAATACACCCATTGCCATCTTAGGCCCATTTTAAAATCACATTTTTTTAATTTGTTGGGCCATACAATTGGATTATTTGTTCATTGGGCCATTAGCATATTTCACTATCATTCAGTTACTAGGTCAGTAATTATGGGCCCATTTTTAAAAGCATACCATTTGCTTCTGCACCATTTTCTGTTATTGGGGTAATTTTTTTTGTTCAATTGTTTGGCCATTTAAAAATCATAAGCCATTGTTGTTGGGCAACTTATGCAAGAATTTAATGTTAAGCACAAGTAATTGTTTTATGGCCCAATTTGGTGAATTAATTACTGGGCCTTTTGGAATATACTACAACTAATTGATTATGGCCCATTTGATTCAATTGTTTATTGGACATGTAAATGTGTTTATGGGCCCATTTGAAAAATCATAAGTGATTGTTAGTTGGGCAATTTGAAAAAGATATATTGGATATTGGTCCAACTTTCAGAATTTTTTAATTGGGCTGATTTTTTAAATGGTATTTGGACACGTACATGTCTACTGGGCCAATTAATTATTGGGTCGTTGGTTATGAGGGCATTTGAAAATAATAAACATTTCTATTGGGTCATATTTGTTTAGGTCATTTGGATATTTTCATAAAACCCGTTTATTTTGTGGTCTTAGAGGTTGTGCCATAACCTACACTTTTATTGGGCAGCTTTTAGAGAATTGATTCTTGAGCACATGGATTTGTTTGTTGTGCCAATTGTGCAATTTAGTTCTCAAGTATTTATTTTAATTTTGCACATGTTAATTATTCATGTTTGGAATAATATATGCAATTTTAGGATATATTAAATTGTGAATTATGCTCATATTTAGTTTGCACGAGTTGATTATGTTTACATTATTTTATGCAATTTATAACGATTATGAGAATATTTTATGCAGTTAGACTTATTCTAATATTAAGTTAATCGTTTGTGCATGAAAGGAATAATGTCTAGTGATCCGTATAATTTTGTTTATTTAAGGATTAGCCACAACATCTTTAATTAAATCAAATTACATATTAAGATGATGATCACATAAGGATTAAAGGCATTAATTGTGGTTGATCATATTTAATATAATAAATTTTATCCCACAAGAATTTTTGTTATATTTGTATGATCAATTAGGGTAAAATATTAAATTACTTTCCTAATTGCCCACAGGAATTAGGAATTGGAATGTGATTTGATAGTTTTATCATAAAGTTTATACATGGATCTAATTGAGTAGGACTTTATACATGCAAGTTCTATATCACTGGACTCATATTTTGAAGCATGATTTTACATTGGTAAAATGTGATTTGATAATTCTATCATAAGATATAATTGAATATACTTGAATTAAAAATTTAGCCCACGGGCAATTTTTATGTCACTATATTCAATTATTGGCATGATTTACATTGTTAAAACATGCAATCTATTAAGCCTCGATTTTAAGATAAGCATGACGTAGCTTCACTACCAGCTAATTTCTTTGATATTCGTTGTGATATTCTCGAATTGAATGGTGAGAACTATAGAGTATGGAAGGAGATAATTCTTATCCATTTAGGATGGATGAATATTGATTATGCTATTAGAAAAGATGAACTACCTAAAATTACTGATGCCAGCACTGCAGCAGACATTACACTTTATGAAAATGAGAGTGATATGATCGCCTTAGCATGATGTTCATTAAGACTAAAATTTTTACTAGTATAAGTGGTTTTGTCAATATGACAAGGTCCATGACTTGATAATGGCCATTGATGATCAGTTCATCACTTCAGATAAGGCATTAGCAAGCACCTTTATAATAAAGTTCTTATCCTTAAAACTCACAAGTGTGAAAGGTGTGCACGAGCACATCATGCAGATGAGAGATATTACAGCTCAACTTAAGAAACTCATGTTGGGTTGTTTGAATCATTTTCTTGTGCACTACATCTTGCATAGTCTCCCAAAGAGTAAAGACCTCTCAAGATCTCGTACAACACACATTAGGATAAGTGGTCAATAAATGAATTAATGACTGTGTTCAAGAAGGGAGATTAATAATGGAATTAAAAGATTAGTGAATGAGGGGGTACTTAGTACTATTCACTGATTTTGATGTGTGCGTGGCCTGTATTGAGGGAAAGCATACCATTACGTCCAAGAAATGTGCCAACAGGAGTACATACATACTGATATTTGTAGTCCAGACATGGACTCACATGGTCGGAAATACTTTGTCGCCTTTATTGATGATTTTTCATGATATATGTATCTCTACTTGTTTCATAATAAGAACGAAATATTGGATTATTTTAAAGTTTAAAGGCCGATGTAGAGAAACAATGAGAAAGGCTAGATGTGGAGAATATTATTATAGATATACAAATGATGGACATGCACCTGGTCCGTTCGCTAAATTTCTTCAAGAGCATGAGATAGTTGCCCAATATACTATGCCTAGTTCAGCAAACCAGAATAGCGCACCAGAAAGAAGAATATAGAACATTATTAGACATATTGCGGAGCATGCTTAGCAACTCCAATCTTCCTAAATCCTTGTGGACTAAATCACTTAAGATGGTAGTGTATATATTAAATCGATTTCCAACTAAGGCTGTTACAAAAACACCATTTAAATTACTGAAAGGTTGGAAATCGAGTTTGTGACATATACGCGTTTGGGGATACCCGCCTGAAGTAAGAGTTCATAATCCACAAGAGAAGAAACTGGACCTAAGGACCATTAGTGGGTATTTCGTTGGACATGTCAAAAGTTCTAAAGGATACGAATTTTACTGTCCATCTTACTGTACTAAGATTGTGGAATCAAGAAATGACTTGATAAGTGGGAGGGATCAAACTAAGAACAAAGTTCATGAGCATGATCATTCAGAGTCGCAACCTCCCACCTCAGGTGATAGATTGGTTATATTTCATAGCACCCCTAAGGTACAAACAGGTGTCGAACAACCAATCATTGAAGTTCCACAAGCTACTGACAATGTTCAAGTAGATAAAGTAATTCAGGAATTACCAAAATCTCCTCAATAAACAGTTGAACCACAAGCTTGTCAGGAAGATGATGGTACAACATTAAGAAGATCTACTAGAATCAAAGGGCCGGCAATTTCTAGTGATTATGAAGTATATCTACAAGAACCTGACCATGGTATTGGAGCCGAAAATGATCTTGACTCATTTTCACGGGCCATGAATTGTAAAGAGTCGAAATTATAGTACAATGCCATGAAGGAAGAAATGAGTTCCCTGAAAAGCAATAGAGTCTGGAATCATGTTGAGTTGCCTAGTGGTGCCAAAGCCATTGGCTGTAAATGGGTCTTTAAGACTAAGGAAGACTCGTTAGGCAATATCGAGAGATACAAGGTGAGACTTGTTGTTATGGGATTTACTCAAAAGGAGGGAATTGATTACACGGAGACTTTCTCTCCTATATCTAAGAAAGATTCTCTATGTATTATTTTGGCATTAGTAGCCCAATTTGATCTTGAATTACAACAAATGGATGTGAAAATAGCATTTCTCAATGGAGATTTAGAGAAGGAGGTTTATATGAAACAACCTAAAGGATTCCCATCTAATGATGGTGAGCACTTGGTCTATAAGCTTAAAAAGTCTATATATGGTCTAAAAGAGTATCCCGTCAATGGTATTTAAAATTCCATGGAGTAATTTCTTTATTTGGATTTGTTGAAAATCTAAGGTTAGTGGGAGTAAGATTTATTTTCTTGTTTTATACGTAAATGACATTATTTGTGACCAATGATAAAGGTTTTGTTGCATGAGGTCAAAAATTCCTCTCTGAACATTTCGATATAAAGGATATGGGTGGGGCATCTTATGCCATTGGCATTAAGATTCATAGAGATAGATTATGAGGAATTTTGGGTCTGTCTCAGAAAACCTATATCAACAAAGTTTTAGAGAGATTTCAGATGAAAGATTGTTCACTAACTCCCTTTGTGAAGGGTGATAAGTTCAATTTGAAACAATGCCTGAAAAAAACAAATACATGAATCATGGCAATGGGTCTTCTAATAACGAGTATCACCTTTCATGTATTATGATGCATTTAGTTCCTCAAGAACCTTTCCTTATGTGGTAACAATACTTAATGAAAAGACCTTATGTCTTATTCTTGATCCTACATAAATGTATTTTCTCAATTTAATATATCCTAAAATTGCATATATTATTCCAAACATGAATAATTAACATATGCAAAATTGAAATAAATAGTTGAGAATTAAATTGAACGATTGGCACAACAAACAAATCCATGTGCTCAAGAATTAATTCTCTAAAAACTGCCCAATAAAAGTATAGGTTATGGCCCAACCTTTAAGAGCACAAAATAAACGGGTTTTATGAAAATAATAACCCCAATTAAACATTTCCAAATGACCTAACAAATATGACCTAATAGAAATGTTTATTATTTTCAAATGGCCTCATAACTAGTGACCCAATAATTTATTGGCCCAACACATGTATGCGTTCAACTACTATTTAAAAAAAATCGGCCCAATTAAAAAATTCTGAAAGGTGGACCAATATCCTATATATCTTTTCCAAATGGCCCAACTAACAATCATTTATGATTTTTCAAATGACCAAACAGTTGAACAAAAAAAATTACCCCAATAACAAAAAATGGTGCATAAGCAAATGGTTATGTTTTCAAAAACGGGCCCATAATTACTGACCCAGTAACTAAATGATAGTGAAATATGCTAATGGCCCAACAAACAAATAATCCAATTGTATGGCCCAACAAGTAAAAAAAATGTGATTTTAAAATGGGCCTAAGACTGCAATGGGTGTATTATCCCTTATATAATTCCAAAGTTCAAACCCAATAAAGGAAACGCGTCATTTAGAAACGTCGGTCCCTTTTTCCTTTCAAAAATGGTCGTCTTCTTCCTCTACCGGGTTGAAGTCAACACGACACAGACACACTTCAAATTCAACCTTCTCCCCATCAAAACTCAAGTTTGAAAACACAAAGAGATCAAAAGTGATTTCATGGAGAAATATGAATTTATTTTCAAAAAAAAAAATTCAGTCAGAATAGACAGGGTTCTACGTATTCATGACAAAACACCAAGGCAAAGGTAATTTCTCGCTCTGATACCAAATGTTAGAAAATTCGATCCAGAACAAATATGCGAAAACTTATTGGATCGAAAATTCGGAAGATCACAGGGATCGAATCCATACCTCCAACCATTGATGTCGTTCCAGAAGCTCTCCTTTGTTCCAGGTAATGGTGCTTCCAAGCTCTCAACACTCTAACTAGACGGTATATTTTGTATTTCGAGTTGTATAGCTTGGGGACCAAAACCATCATATATATAGCCAAAATTTCCATCAAATTATGGCTTAGGTTACAAACCCTTCAATACCAAAGGTGTAAATGTTGAAACTCCAATGAATGTGGACCATCATTTGTCCCTTCAATTGCCAGATGAAGAAACGGAAATGGAAGATGAAATGTCACATTCTCCCACTTGGTCCACGTATTCAACCTCATGTTTCAACTTAATCTTATTGACTGTATTTTCTTAGAAAAACAAACATATGAATCATGGCGATAGGTCCTTTAATAACGAATATCACCTTCCATGTATTATGATGCATTTAGTTCCTCAAGAATTATTTTTCATAAGGTAACAATACTTAATGGAAAGACCATATGTCTTATTCTTGGCCCTACATATTTTCTCAAATAAATTAAAGTGCACATGAATATGCGAAAATACCACAATAAATAAGAGTTTCGTACAAAATTTTTGTGTATACAATTACATAGTGGAACCAAGTCCCATTTTCTCCACATAATTCTTGAATTTTAATGGTGGCATGTCTTTAGTCAAAGAATCAGCGATCATCAATTCAATGCATACGTGCTCAATGACCACTTTCTTTTCTTTAATACGTTCCCTTATGGCTAGATACTTAATGTCGATATGTTTACTTCGACTAATACTTTTGTTATTCTTAGCCATAAAGACAACAACCGAATTGTCGTAGTAAATTCTCAATGGCCTAGAAATGGAATCCATAATTCTAAGCTCAGATATGAAACTCTTGATCCATACACCATGCGATGTAGCCTCAAAACAAGAAACGAACTTGGTTCCATAATGGAAATAGAAATTAATATTTGCTTGGCACTCCTCTATGATACAACTCCACCAGCCATCATAAAGATGTACCCTGATGTTGATTTTCATGAATCAATACAGCCGACAAAGTCTAAATCTGAGTATCCAATTACTTCCAGATTATCCGTCCATCTATACACAATCATGTAATTTTTGGTTCATTGAAGGTACCGCATTACTTTCTTTACTGCTTTACAGTGGTCTACACATGGGTTACTTTGATGTCGACCTAACATTCCTATAGCAAATGCAATGCCAACCCTTGTGCAGATATAAGCATACATCAGCTTCCAATAGTAGAAGCATATGGAATGTTTTTCATTTATTCCCTCTCCAGATCATTTTTCGGGCATTCTTTCAAATTGAACTTATCACCCTTCACTCGCAATGGGAGTTGGTGAACAACCTTTCATCCGAAATCTCTCTAAAACTTTGTTGATATAAGTTTCCTAAGACAGAACCAAAATTCCTCATAACCTGTCTCTATGAATTTTAATGTCAATGACATAAGATACCTCACTCATATCCTTCATATCCAAATGTTCAAAGAGGAATTTTTCACCTCATGCAACAAAACCCTTATCATTGGTCGCAAATAATATATCATCTACGTATAAAACAAGAAAATAAATTTACTCTCACTAACCTTCTGGTAGATACATTAATCCATGAAATTTTCAACAAATCCGAATGATGAAATTACTCCGTGGAATTTTAAATACTATTGATGGGACGCTTGTTTTAGACCGTATATAGACTTTTTAAGCTTACAGACCAAGAGCTCACCATCATTAGAGGGGAATCCTTCAGGATGTTTCATATAAACCTCTTCTTCTAAATCTTTATTGAAAAAAGTTGTTTTCACATCCATTTGATGTAACTCAACGTCAAATTGGGCTACTAATGCCAACTTAGTAAGTAGAGAATCTTCTTAGATACCGAAAGAGGTCTTCTTGTAATCGATTCTCTTTTCTTGAGTGAATTTTATAGCAATAAGTCTCATCTTGTATCTCTTGATGTTGCCCAATGAGTCTTACTTAGTCTTAAAGATCGATTTACAGCAAATAACTTGGGCACCACTTGGAACCTCAACAAGATTCCAGACTCCATTGCTCTTCATGGAACTCATTTTTTTCCTTCATGGCATTGTACCATAATTCTAACTCTTTACAATTCATGGCCTATGAAAATGATTCAGGATCATTTTCGGCTCCAATACCATGGTCAGGTTCTTGTAGATATACTTCATAATCACTAGAAATTGCTGACCTTTTGATTCAAGTAGATCTTCTTAATGTTGTACCATCATCTTCCTGACAAGCTTGTGGTTCAACTATTTATTCAGGAGATTCTGGTATTTTCTGAATTACTTGATCTACTTGAACATTGTTAGTAGCTTGTGGAACTTCAACGATTAGTTGTTCGACACCTGTTTGTACCTTAGGGGTGCTATGAAATATAACCAATCTATCACCTAAGGTGGAAGTTGAGACTCTGAATGATCATGCTCTAGAACTTTGTTCTTGGTTTGATCCCTCCCACTTATCAAGTCATTTCTTGATTCCACAATCTTAGTGCCGTAAGATGGACAGTAAAATTCGTATCCTTTAGAACTTTTGACATGTCCAAGGAAATACCCACTAATGGTCCTCAGATCCAGTTTCTTCTCTTGTGGATTATAAACTCTTACTTTAGACGGGCATCCCCAAACACGTATATGTCACGAACTCGATTTCCAGCCTTTCAATAATTTAAATGGTGTTTTTGTGACAGCCTTAGTTGGAAATCGGTTTAATATATACACTACCGTCTTAAATGCTTCAGTCCACAATGATTTAGGAAGATTGGAGCTGCTAAGCATGCTCCGCACCATGTCCAATAATGTTCTTTATTCTTCTTTCTGGTACGCTACTCTGGTTTGGTGAACCAGGCATAGTATATTGGGCAACTATCTCATGCTCTTGAAGAAACTTAACAAACGAACCATGTGCATGTCCATCATTTGTATATCTACAATAATATTCTTCACATCTAGCCTTTCTCATTATTTCCCTACATCGGCCTTAAAACTTTAAAGGCATCCAATACTTCGTTCTTATTATGAAACAAGTAGAGATACATATATCATGAGAAATCATCAATAAAGGTAACAAAGTATTTTCCAACCATGTGAGTCCATGTCTGAACTACAAATATCAGTATGTATGTACTTCTGTTGGCACATTTCTTGGACGTAAATCTCAATACAGTCCACTCATACATCAAAATCAATGAAGAGTACTAAGTACCCCGTCATTCACTAATCTTTTAATTCCATTATTAATCTCCCTTCTTGAACACATAGTCATTAATTCATTTATTAACCACTTATCCTAATGTGTGTTGTACGAGATCTTGAAAGGTCTGTATTCTTTGGGAGACTATTCAAGATGTAGTGCACAAGAAAATGATTCAAACAAACCAACATGAGTTTTTTAAGTTGAGCTGTAATGTCTCTCATCTGCATGATGTGCTCGCGCACACCTTTCACACTTGTGAGTTTTAAGGATGAGAACTTTATTATAAAGGTACTTGCTAATGCCTTATCTGAAGTAATGAATTGATCATCAATGACCTTTATCAAGTCATGGACCTTGTCATGCTAATCAACGAGACCACTTATACTAGCAGAAATTTTAGTCTTAATGAACATCACGCTAAGGCGATTAGAT